CATTCACTGACTTCAGTAGGAATGCCCTCCTATTGCATTAGATGAGCAAGACCCAAGCCCTCACTAGGCTCAGTGAAGCTCTGCTGACTTGTATTATTTGAAAGTCTGGGCCTTTGTGTATGACTGGGACATACATTATTTCTTTAATAGCACAGAAATAATTTAATTAAATTAATTTAAATTGTTCCTGATATTTTTTTTACTTCGTCTGCCCAATTTAATTTTCCCAGTCTGTTCTCCTGCCATTCTGATGTGATCTCAGAGACCCATGGATTACAGTGGTTTCAGTGAGGTATCAGAGTGACATATTGGTAAGAAATACAGACCCAGTATCTTTTGAATTTATGTGTTCAAGTCCCCACATGCATGCTTTGTAACTCAGGTTGCTAAACTTCAGAAACTTAACATATGCTAAAATAAGGAAGTCTAAAAGACATGAAAAATAGAATTATGTGTTGAAATTAAAGGGCTCTTCAGATCAAATGTGAGGTGCTAAGAGGGAAGTTTAGTTACAGGTTTGAACAGACTATAGGATGTGGTAAGGCATTTTATATTTTCAGAAGGAAATAGTAGCATATCTGGTTTCTGAGCGAATTTGAGATTTTCCAGGAGTGTAATTGCGTAAGTGCAATTAAAGCTGAGAGACGGACAGCTGTACTGGAGACCACAGTAAATGCTATTTTGAGGCACCAGCCAATGTCATGGAGTTTATAAGCACCGTTTGTCAGAAATAATAATAAGGAAACACTTCACATCTAAATTGGTATGGGAAACTCCCGGTATTCTTTGGATTTCATCTCATACCAGTTTCTCAACCTGGATCTGATTCAAGACCTTTGAAATTCCTGTGTATGGATTTCAAAGGAACTGAGCTGGGGCCTGGGACAGAGAGCAAGATCTAGAGCCAGTCTCCTGAAGCACTGAGCTCCCAGGAATCCACGTGAAATCAGCTGTAGCCTTGTTTCTGCAGAGCCAGCCCCCACCCCAGTCATCTCCTCCCGCTGCTCATGCTTTCAATGGGAGTTCAGGAGTCAACATTTTGGGCCCTCTGCTTATTTCTACCCTCATGTTGTTGCTTATTGATTTACTCAGACCAGGTCAAATCCCATCTCATCTATGACAAAAGCCCACTTAGAATTTCCTGTGCAGGTTAGACAAAACTGAGCTTGCAGTCTCCAGGTGAGAGCAGGCTGGAAGAAAGGACAGAGCTGGGACACCAGTTGAAGGAGGAGCCCAGGGCAGCAGAACCTGGTGCTCCTGATGCTGCTAGAGCACGGACCAACAGCTGGTGCTTTTGCTCACGCCACAGTAGCTGCTGCCTCCCCACAGACCCAGGTCCTCTCTCAGCAGCAGCAACAGCCAGCCAGCCTCCAGGCTTGGAAGGGTGGAAAGGAAGCAACAGGGCCATGACTAATTTTGCTAGGCCAAGCACTTGGATACCCTGGAAATTTGTTGTTTTGTTTATTCTTGATCTGGTTCTCTTTGGACCTGAGAAGTCGATGGAGTACAGGACTTGGCCTTTGTTGCTTGCCCTCATTACTCAGCTGTGGATCAGCATTACTTAATGTAAGTTTTCAGATGTCCTGTGCCAAAGCACTCCAGCAAAGACCAAGCTGTTACCAAATATTTCAAGTCAAACACCAAAAATCACTAGTTACAGATACTGAAAATCTGGTTTGATCCAAAGCACAGATTTGTTTCTTTTTTGGTTTCCTAGGGCATTTCAATATGGGTCCTAGAAAATGCCTCACACATTTCTAGTTTTAACTGCTATATAAACCAGCTGCTGTGTACCTCAAAAGCTTTTTCAGAAGGCAGAACAAGACAGCTATTGCATTAGGACTATGTTAATTAAAAATTATCCCCTCTTTTCGAGAAGAGACCTGAGCATTGTCCAGAGAAGGAAACTGGGAGAGCAGTGCCAGCTTTTGCTTTTCTCTTATACCTTTTTCCCATTTTCTGGAGTTGCTGTTTAGAATATATCTTTGCATAATTCTTTACAAACAGACTTCAACTTTGATTTGCTTGCACCAGCAATGGAAAAGCAGCAGAGAGATGGAGGGATGGCAAGGCACCTGGTTTGCATCAGGCAGAACCACCAGAGGTCAGACTTAAACTCCTGTTCATTTCTAAATGCTGAGCAGTTTAATTCAGACCGATTTCTGTCATTGCGACAGACAGTGCTAAAGGCTTACAGGACATTTACTGCATTCCCTCTGTTCCTGGGAGATTGCATCCTTCCAGGGTATTTTCTAGCTCTTTGTGTTACACACAAAGGCCTCTGGGTTTGCCTCGTGCTTTTTGGGAGCTGGTGGGACTGTCACAACCGGTTTGAAGACTTTCCTGATAATCAGCCTGGAATTACCCTTTCTTTTCATCCCATTGCTCATATCATACTTCTCTTGTGACATCTCAGGTATGAGCATAACAGATAGTATGTTTTTGAAGGGGAGGAATTTGGCTTGCTAAAATTAACTTGGACAGGTTACATGTGGCTTGTACAAGAAGTGGCCAATTTCACAACACTAATGAACCCTTTTTGAACAGGTGATTTTCAGGGTGAGCACGCAGAGAGGTTGGGTGCTCTCTCCTGTAGCAACTATTAATGCCTAGATGAGGAATTGAGTAATGCAACCTCCAACAGTGCAAGGAATGAAGGGCTGTAAGTTCTAAGCCTCTCCAAACAACCCCACTTCTCCCTCAGCTTTCTCCTCTCCATTGAGCTGTGTGATGGTAACAGCAGTATTGCTGCTGCATAGCACTGGCGACCATCCCACTTGTAGCCCTCAGACTGGATTTAGCCTGTGGGACAATTTGGGTCTTGCACTGGGATAGGTGAGGTGGGACGGTGTAGGAGGTCCTACAGCTATTGAATACCTTTTAAGTCCTTGCACTTCTAGGTGCTTTGGCCCATTAGATGCTCCCATGTTCATACAGAAGGAGGAAGTTGCCACAACAGGAATCTGGTCTGTGGTGGTAGAAAAGGCTGGCCAACGTACTGTGCAAGCTCAGCACCTCTGTCTTGTGTTTGGCCAGAAGATAGGATGCTGAGCAGATGGGGGTAAGGGATGAAAGTTGTGCAGGGTGTGTCAAAACCCGTTTTTGAGAGAACGGTGGACAAAGAGGCACAACAAATGTAGCAAAGAAAATAAAACTTACAAAAACAAAAGTCAGAGGCTTGTCCATTGTCAGGGTTAAAGTCTGAGCAGCAAAATGTTGCCTGTGGCTGTGGTGTGGTCCTAGGCTGGGGATCATGTGCTCTGAGTCCCTAGACACAAGATGGATAGAGGAAAACTGGCAGCAGGACAGACTTTCTTCTGCCATATTAGGTCAGCATGCTTCATCCTTGACTGCAAGGGATGCCTGAGGGGTAACGGGGTAGTTCACACCTCCAGCATACGCAGTCTTTCATTGCCCAGCTGACTGGCAGTCAAAACAACCAGTGCTACTGAGAGCTGCTTGTAACTGTCCTGGATGAGCTAAACTCTGGCAGGAACTAAAATTAGTCTACAGGTTCATATCACGTAGACTGCAAAATGTATTTGGTAACCTAGAAAGGATGTGACCCAGGAATTTGGAGGTGATTTACTTGATAGTCCTTTTACCAATCATGGGTCATGGGCATGGTAATCTAATTTTAAAGTAGTAGTGAGGACCGTGCCAATATACTGTTTGGCTCCTCTTGTGTCTTGGTGTCAGCCAGGAGGCAGCAGGACTGGTAATGGCTAAATCCTGACTTTCTCAGTATCGTGCTTGCAAAGAACCATAATATCTAACCTTTAAACGCTCCCTGGTCTAGCTCTATACAAGCTAGACCACAGAAACCAGCTGGAGTTCCAGCTACTCTCATGTTGTCACCAGACCACCTCATTAGCCTTCTGACTTGTTAAACACAATTCTGTCAAACTTTGTTCTCCAGCCTGCCATTATACAGATACTAACTAAACAAACTCCCACTAGCTCCCTTGGGGATCATCACATCTCTCTGCATTTATGCTGTGGCAGCAAAAGTTTAAGCTTGGATTGTAATCATAAAGAAATTAACTTGCTGATTAAAAATGGTCCTTTAAGCAGCGTGCATTTGAATAATCCATCATAAAAACAAATGAGTCTGTAGCAATACTTTTGACTTGATAATCTTTTTTCTGCTTAAAATTTAAATCAGTTGCATTTTTTTCTCACAGTCTGTAGCCTATAGAAAAATACAATGAATTACTAAAAAGAAAGCAATAGTTTGAACTGCAACAGCCGTGGTGCGGAATATATATTTTAGATCTGTCACTGCAAGATAGATTTGTACATCATGGACCTAATTTTTAGCTGAGGTACCCTCCAGGCAGTTCCATTGACGTTAGTTGTGTTACACAAAAAGTAACTTAATGCAGAAAATTTGGTTTCAGATATTTGCAAAGTGTTTTAAAGATAAAAGAACTGCACATGCCAGAGCTGATCTAGTTCTCACTGAAATCTGTAGCGAAAGTCCTGTTTAATTCAACAGGAGCTGCTGGATCAGGTCTGATGAACGCAGCAGTTGTGTTTACAAGTAGCATTTGGAAATAATGATAGTTCAGTCATTTTAAATATTGTGTATCTCTCTCTACCTATAGGTGCAAAGTTAACCATTAACAGTTCACAGTAGGTGCTTACTTTTAGACAAAGTCACTCAATTTGTGGCTGCTAGCTGTACTGGTTATGTGATGAATACAAGAAGTAAGAGAAGATTTATGTGTCTGGAGAAAGATGCAAAAGGACAACTCTAACTTATATGAGAATACGTCACACTGTTCCTGATACTAAACAAAAGCAATATCAAATCTCCTTCCTTCCTCACTTTTCCCCGTCACAGTTCCACTTCTCTAGATGTTTGTACAGCCTGCAATAATTCACATCTTTCATCCCCAGCCCATGCCACAAGCCCTCCATTTAAAAATCCTCCTGATTTTTAAAAATCAGCCTTTATCAGTAATGGTCTCAGTAATTAGCAACCTCATATTCCTCACCTTTTGGTCCAGGTAAAATTGTGTGTGTCGAGCAGACATCTGTTGTAGGTCGATTGTCAACATCAAAAGCAAAAATCTGAATTTGGAAGATAAAAAGCACTACTAGGGTCCCGTATTTCCTTAGCTGTTGTTCTTTCTTGCAGCTCATCCTTGCAGCCTCTCAGGAAATGCCTTTCGTTGTTACAGTCTTAACAAATGCAGCTGATTCAAAAATAAATGCTCCACTAACTGAAGCAGTGCAAAGTTGGGAGCTACATGCAAGAACAGCTAAATAAAGTGAAGAAAGGAGTTTGACGATGCTGTAGTTATTTCTGTCCTGCACATTATCCAGGATATTTATTTAACACTGACAGCTGTTTATTCCAATTTATCTCTTATCTGTGAGATGTTTAGCTGCTTTTGCCATGGAAAATTTCTTCAACATATGGGGATATCTCTTTTGTCATTTTTTGTTCCTTTCGGCGCTGAATCTTCATGCCCAGCTTTTCACTTAGTCAAAAGACAAAAGACTTTGGTATTGTATCCAAGTGAGTACTAATTAGCTATAGGATATTTGTGGCTGGTTTGTGCTGGAAGAGTAACGTAGACTCGATAAAACATGTGGAGAGACTTTTCCACAAAAGCTTTCCTCCAAGGAGCTCGTTACTGACAACAAATGAGCTGCCAGTCTGCTGTGGCTGGAAGTCACTGGTGCTATTTCACACCTTTTGGGTGCCATGTACCCATAGCTCCCAGAGCAGGGAATGAAAAGTTGATGTCATCAATAGGTGTTTGAGCCAGAAACTGACAAATGATGGTTTTATGCTTACAGATTGCTCCGCAATAATTGCTCCAAGCCCAGATTATGTTGGTAGACACAGTACAGAAGGGCAGACTTCAGGACTGAAGCCACAGAGTAGGATGAGCCGGAATGACTGCAATACCTCTTCCCATACCGCCTTTCTCCTCTCCTTGTTAACTGGGAGAGACCATATATCAGGACTGGGGTATAGCATAGGTCCCAGTGCAATGTCATCTTTGGTTCATCCAGAAGCTGCTTCTGGTTCAAATCTTTATGAGGCAGCTGTCAGGTTTTTGGTTGGGTGCTGGGACTTTGAAACCAGGTGTATGAGGCCTCCTGGACGGAGGAACGGGTAGCATGAAGAACCGCTATATATCCTTTTGGAAGGAGCTGTGACAGATATCCATCCATGTGCAATCCCTTCCTAGAAAAGATTCTAACTTTCTCTCATGGAAAATACATTAACCAGGGACAGCAGACCACTCCAGTTAGCCTGTCAGCAAAGAAAGGGAAGAATTTCCAGGAATTCTGTTAACTTCTGTTTTCTTGCACAATGAAGGAAAACAGCTACTTAAAAAGCTGAACTATGCTTTTGAACTGCCTAGTGTGTGAGAGTGCATGTTTGCTTTCCATTCTAGGCAAAAAATGTATTTCCTATGATAATAGCTTTGAGATGCTTTCCTCATTATTCAAGAGAGTATCAGTTCCTTAGCCCTACAAAGTTTCAGCCTTTTGGTAGACAGAAAAAGTAGCAGCGCTCATGTAAAAGTGAATACCTTTTCTTAAAGGCTGAAGGAAGGCTTTGATTTCAAGCTTTCATCTGGGATGAAATGTTGGCCGAAGTCCCAAGAGGGGTCAAGAGACTCCTCTCCCTTTTTCTTTCTAGCCTGGTCACAGACTGTCCCACTTTTCAAAACACTTTTCTTTTTTGTTAAACTGTATACGGTACTTTTCAAAAATAAATAGTCGTCTCTGTCCTAAAGAGTGGCATCTGACTAACGCCCTCAAATGTGGCCTTAATAACGGATACACCACAGCTAGAGGGGGAGGAAAGAGAAAGCAGGGGTTATAGATGGATAGAGCTGTACCAGGAATAAACTTGTTCCTCTGTGATTTGCGTTGGGCACTGTGCCTCTGACTTGTACACTGTAAATCTGTTTTATTTATCTTTTTCTTCTCTTCACTTTCCATTTTGTGAGCAGAAGGTCAATGTAAGAGCAAGAATAGAGAGCGTAGGAGTGGGAAGCTGGTGTACTTAGCTTTGGAGGCGGCATTTTGGGAAATGTTGCTGAACTGACGTGAATGATGCTATCTGTTCCACAGTACTGAGAGACTTACAGTGACTTCTTTGTTATTTATCAGGGATAAAGAGGGGTAAGTGTAAGTGAGGGAGGAAATAATTTGTTTAACCACTTCAGTCACTGACCAGGACTAAGCAGAGAATATTTTTCTGATCCTACTATTGCTGTGATCATTTACAAATGTTCTCATTCCACATTAGAAAATAATCTACTTTCCCCCCCTGCCCCCATGGCAATCACAAAGCCTCTAAACACATAGTGAGAAATGAAGTTTAATATATCCTGGAACTTGGTAATGAAGGCACTTACTTAAAATGTAGGAGATCCAGATTCAAATTCTTTCTCTGCATAATTCAAACCAGTGTTTGCACTAGAGCCTTGAGGTTATATTGCCTTATTACAAGGCTGTTTGCTAATCAGTTATGTCTTCTTGTATGTTGGACCAGAAATCCTGTCCTGGAGCTAGGAAACCTGCCTTAACAGGCAATCCATCAAACCTGATATACTAGCACAAAAAGCTTGGGTTTTGGTAAACGGTATTTATCAAACCAGTTTCATTGAAAAATCTTCAAGCAGCTTCACTGCTGATGGAGATTTAATGAGGCACGTTGCCTATTGTGCATGTTAATTCTCATTGAGTCAGGCTTAGAGAAAAGTCTGCAGGCAAGAGAGAAAAACAAACTAGGCAGTGTTGTCCAGACATAAAAGACATAAAGCAAACATTTCCTAGGGCATGAGTGTTTTACAAGAAAACTCTGAGAAGACACAAAAGAAAATCCTGAAAGATTCCATTCCTTTGAGATAAGCAGTAGCCAGGTAACCTTTGTGTAGTGCATTGCCTCCTTGGAGTCCAAGTACTTCCTTGGTAATTTGTATTACCTTCACTTGCTTATTCTTCAGATGTTAGTAGTTAAATGTCAATAGACTATAAGAAGTACAGACAACATCCTGAAATAGTGTTCATCAAAAGGTGTCCAGATCTACAGCCAACTTTAATAATTCTTAGAGTCCTAGATCCTGTGGTTGGTCTCCATGTTAATACATCCTACTTACAACCATGGGCTGATTCAGCCAAAAGTGGTGAGAGTCCACTGGCATTCTTTCTAATCCAAATTTAGTATTAAGGAGAACTTTTCTCTTCTGTGCATTACTGTACTAAATAAATCTGGGGACATCTGAAGTAAAAAAAAAAAAAAGTCCAATATTTCTCTGCTTGGGATCCTAGATGGTTTCAGTTCTCTTGTTATCAGAGGTCATGACGATTTCAGTTTGTTGTACTGGATACATCAATCATGGTGGCAAAGCTTAGAGAGAATGGAAAAGGAAAAGCAGTACTGTATGGCTTGCCAAGGCTTGCCAAGTGTAGGGAGGAAAGTCATCCTAGGGCTATTTTGCAAATTGTCATTTTTGGTTTTCACACCATGCAATGACTACTCGAGCCTGTAAACACAGTCTCCACCAGTCCTTGTGCCTGTGAGTAAGATATAAACAATGACTAGACCTTGATATGCCTGCAAATATCTGACAGAAAAACCAAAGGGCAAAATTCTCCAAAATATCCTTGTTTCCATGTTCAGTAAACAGAGCTTGTAGGATTGTGTAATGATTTTTGGTAATTCTTGTTGGGTATTTGAGAGTCTTCATCAGCCTCAGCAGTGTAGAAATACACGTTTCCCTATCAACTGTGATCTCACCGGTTTCCTGCTAGTGAGTTTGACTCTGTTGAGTTGGGTACCTTGAGGGATAGTCATGAGTGTTCCCTGGTCCGACACAGGGATGGTGCTCTAGGAGAACCTTAGGTCTGCTTTAGGGCTTACAATCCCTTCTTGGGATACTCCTACTCTCCCACTGCAACCCTCCTCAGCTTTTAGCCTTAAACAGAAAAGCTGACCCAGATTCCAGCTGGAAGTGTCTGCTGTGAGGCAGGAGGGATTTGGAGACAGCTGGTGCCCAGGGAACAGAATGACTGGTCAGCACCGAAATCTCAGAAGGAGCTTGCATTGCAGACCACAGATTCAGGGAGCTGCTGGAGGCTGTATGAGATGCAGCACTGAGCCCTGTACCCTGCTTTTTAAACAGACCTCAATTCTGTGTGACTTGTGCTCAGTTCTGTAGCACTGCATTACAGCTTTGCATTTCTGCCTTTTGCGCTTTGCAAGAATTCCCTGGCTCACGGTGAATGTGTTATGAGCACTTTTTAGGTGAATGCTTTCATTGAGAATGCTTCTCTGACCGTTAGCCTGCAGGCTGTCAGTTCTGCTGAAGACACCTTTGACTTTACTCATATGGCATCAGCCTTCCAGAGAGGCCTGAGACAGACACCTTTTGCTATTGTTTTCCATGCAACCACTTGGAGAAGCTGTCCAAAAAAGTAAGGCATTCACAAATGCATTCAGAGATGTGATACAAAGTGAAATACTCAGTGTGGTTTGTAATTGTGTTTGTCTAAGTGCAGCCTCTTCCTGTGTCAGAACAGATTTTTGCAAACAAGAGGGCAATGATTCAGTTCCAGGGGAAGACTGACAAAATAAACCCCTGCTTCTGCTGACCTGATGCAGTGCTGAACAGTGTCCTACCCTGGGAAAATATTTCCTGCTTCATTTTCATAAATATTTATGTAATTCCTTCTGGGAAACATGTCTTCTTCAGAAAACTGAACATGCTGCTCCCTGACACAAATTTAACTGTTTGTTTACACTTGAGAGATTATGGGCATGTACCCAGCCTCGGATTTTTACATTCTTATCTCAGGCGTTTCAGCCTTTCAGAGTTCTCCTTCCCTCTCCTCCTAGAGATCACATCACGTCTTAAACCTCAGATCTTAGTTCTGGCTCTGGAATTTGAACATCCCCAATGCTCTTTGGGGAGTTGTTATTTTGGGCTGCAGAACGAGGGAACAAATGTAATGTTCTGCCTGGAATCACACTTCTGGCCTGCCCGGTTTTGCCCTTCCCATTCTGCTTTGAGGCTTCTCTCTAAATAAAAGAAAAAGAATAAAATATCATGTAAGCAATTAAACAGGATTGCATGGCTAATGAAAGTATTTATATTTAGAAACAGACCTAAACACACTACTGTGAGCTGAAATAGAACTGGCCTGCAGTCTTCTGAGTTTGCTTTCTAAGTTTATAGTAGAGATTAGTGGCATAGTTGTGCACGAGTTGCCCCAAGAGAACAGGCATACTCTCCACCAGGGCAAACCCAAAAAGGTTGATCCTGCTCTCTTTATCATTTCTTAAGAGACCAGAAAAGTCACTGACAGAAAAGTAGAGACTCCTTTGTATGAAGCCGTGTATTAGTGCACAGCTGAGCTTTGTCTGTGAACGCGCTCACAACCCTTCCATGAAGCAGTGACCTGCGTGGGGTGCTCCAGAGAAAGTCGTGTGATGGGTGGGACAGGCAGTCACAAGACATGGCAGATGCCAAGCTTGTGCCCAGGATAAAACAGGCAAATGAGTAAGTGGTACCTCAGTGGTACACTGGCCTGTGGATTTTAT